GGTCCCTGGTCTGGGACCCAGAGTAATGGGTGGGCCCCACTCATCACTGAGGAAGTGGCTGGACTATTGCACAGTGATACCTCCTGCATCTGGAATGGGGGAGAAACAGAGCGACCTAGCCGGAGGGCTGAGTCATGAAGAGGATGCGGTGGTTCCTGAGGCTAAGAGAGGGGCTGCAGATGGCAAGTCAGAGCAATGGTGTGCAAACTGCAGATGGTGGCGTCGGCTTTGATCTAATCTCCAAAGTGATCAGGAGGCAGCGCCAGCCCAGCGGTGAGTGGTGCACCCCATGACAGGCATCTTCCAAAGGTAAGTGAATCAAATAGAACCTGCAGTTCTGATACTTCATGGAAGTTAACATTTTGGATCTCACTTTAAGACCACAATGAGTAAGAGTAATGGAATGATGCCCTAGTGTAGCACTCCCATAATTGGTAGGGGGATGGAGTACCGAAGAAACAACATTTATGTGGGAAAGAATGTTTAACAATCCCCTATAACATTATACATCAAGATGACTAGTATCTGAAGTTTTCCGATCACTACCCATCCATAGGCGATGGGTTATATTCTTTTGTGGTGCCCGAGCTCCAGCAATATTCAGGGCTGGGGGCCCAGCTCCAGCAATATTTGGAGCTGGGTCTCTCCCCCGGCCCTGCCTGGAGCGGGCCCCGGCCCCCGCGGGTCTCCCCCCCGCCCCGCCGTGTCCCTGTCTGGAGCAGGTCCCGGCCTCCACCTGCCACCTCCCCCGCGGGTCTTTCCCCCCCCCACCCCGTGTCCCTGCCCGAAAGAAAGCAGCGCACACCTCTCCCGTGCCTGCTTGTGCTGCCGATGTAACACATGCCTACGCGGAGCCCTGCTCCTACCAGCAACTGCTGTCTGCTGCCCCAGGGTCCTAGTACTCCCCATCCATTAATGGCAAGGCAGGCTGCCCTTACCCTGCCCTTCTGCCCTAGCCCTGAGCCTCTTCAACGCCCCAAACCCCTCATCCCCAGCCAAAGCCCTCATCCCCCTGCACTCTATTCCTCTGCCCCAGCCCTGAGCTCCCTCCTGCATTGTGAACCCCTCATCCTCAGCCAGAGCTGTCATCCCCCCGCACCTTAATCCTCTGCCCCAGCCCTGAGCCCCCTCCTGCATCATGAACCCCTCATCCTCAGACCCACAGCCCTCACCCCTGCACCCCCTCCTATCCCCAAACTCCCTCTCAGAGCGTGCAACCCCTCCCCCTTCTCACACACCCCCTCCTGCCCTCAAACTCCCTCCCAAAGCCTGCACCCCCTCCCTTTGCACCGCCTCCCACCCCCAAACTCCATCTCAGAGCCTGCATCCTTCACCCCCTCCTGCACACCCACCCCCTGCCGCAGCCCAGAGCCTGCACCCAGCACCCAAACTCCATCCCAGAACCTGCACCCCTCCTGCACCCTAATCCCCAGCCCAGGACCTGCACCCCAGACCTCCAACCCCCCCCCAACCCCCCTCCCAGAGCCTTAGGCAGGTTGAGGGGGCGGAGTTTGGGGGGGCGGGTTCTGGGCACCACCAAAATTTCTACAAAGCTGCCACCCATGTACCTATCTAAAAGGAGTACTTGAGAATGAGATCTGAAGTCAGTCTTCCCAGCTAGAGACTCAGACTATTAGTAGTCATAGGGGAGGCAGCTAGAGCCTATGGGAAGAGTCATTTGAGAAGGAGACAACTACATAAGTTTTTTTTTTTTTTTTTTTTAAAACGGTGATTGGCAAAACAAAACAAAATACAGGCTAGTTTTGTCCTCCCAACCCACTTTTCCAAACTAGGTTTTACCATCCCTAATAAAGAGCTATGATAATTAAAGAAATTCTCTTAACTAGGTCAGTAGGCAAATAAATGTGAAGAGGAAAGGAGGCTGAAAAGGTATGTGAATGGAAGGGCAGAGTGAGAGATGGGTTTTCTTTCCTGTAAGTTTATCTGATAGTCTGTCTTAACTTCTCTCAAAAACTGATGTGTCATGTCAAGAGACTTGTTTGTACAAAGCTAAAACTCCAGTATTAAGAGTTTCTCAAGGGCTGGTCTACGTGACAAAGGTAGGTTGGCTTAACTACATCGCTCAGGACTGTGAAAAATTTCACACCCTGTGCAATGTAGTTAAGCTGACCTAACCCCCAGTGTAGGGTAACCAGACAGCAAATGTGAAAAATTGGAACGGGGGGAGGAGGTGGGGGTAATAGGAGCCTATATGAGAAAGAGACCCAAAAATCGGGACTGTCCCTATAAAATCGGGACATCTGGTCACCCTACCCCAGTGTAGACACCGACAAAGAATTTGTTTATCAACCCAGTTACCACCTCTCAGAGAGGTGGATTTACTACAGCGATGGACAAACCCCTTCTGTCACCGTATTAAGTGTCTGTACCACAGCGGCACAGCTACAGCTGTGCCACTGTAGCATTTCTAGTGTAGACATAGCCTTATTTTGGGAATAGGGCTCTTTAGTGTTCATGAATCTTAGAAGTGTAGGACTGGGAGGGACCTCAAGAGGACTTAATATTATCTAGACCATCCCTGACAGGTAAAGATTGTCTAACCCATTCTTAAAAACCTCCAATGATGGAGATTCCATAACCAGGGCCGGCTCTAGCGTTTTTGCCGCCCCAAGCAGCCCCCGCCCCCCAAAAAGCCGCAATTGGCGGCAGCTCTACCGCCGGTTCATTCTACAGTGGCAATTTGGCGGCTGGTCCTTTGCTCCGAGAGGAAGTGACGGCCCCGCCGCCGAATTGCTGCCAAACGGCCGGATGTGCCGCCCCCCCTCTTCATTGGCCGCCCCAGGCACCTGCTTGCTACGCTGGAGCTGGCCCTGTCCATAACCTCCCTAAGGTGGAAGAAATCTATTTCCATACTAAGCAGTAGGAAGGCTAAAGACACATGTTGACAATTCTATATTGTGAGAACCTATTAAAGTTTGCCATTTTATATCAAATTTCATGCAAAAGATGAAAAAGGAAATTTGAAGTTAAAATTTCTGGCATTTATTGGCCAAGATTGCACAGACCTTACATTCAATTCAAAGGCATCTTTCGGTCTACCACATCTGATCAATTTCAAAATTTCAGGGAAAATTCTAGGCTTCAATGGTTAGAGACATATTAATTATGGAGAAAATCAGAACAAAAAGAGGGAAAATGGGGGACACAGAGCCCCTCCCATCTAATTAACACAGCCACAGCGTCAAGCTCCTTTGCAATTGTCTATAGATCAAACTGGTTGATGCACCCATTAACATCTTTGAGCATAACAATATTCCTGCTCATCCTCTCAGATGACACCCCGGATGACGCTCCCAGATAGAAAGAGGTATGGGGGCATGCATTGGTGAAGACAAAATGCAGAATGGTGGCATGCACACAGGCCTTGGCATGGGGAGAATAGGGCATCCTGATATGGAGGCCCCCAGAGCCTCTAGCATGAGGGAATGGGTGGGGAAGTTTCAGGAAGTCTCTGAAAGAGGGGGACAGGAAGATGGCACACAAAGAGCTTAAGGAATGCATGGAACCCATGATGTGTGCAGTAAGCTTGGCAGACAAACTATGAAGTGTGCAACCCCAGTGTACTCTATTGCACCTTTGACTCTGCAGCACCTAGCTGATGAAGTTGTGTGAAGAGTACCCTAAAGGCAGGTCTACACTTAACACTGCACCCAGGCAGCTGTGCTGCTGAAGTGCTTTAGTGAAGATGTTCCAAGAGCACTCTCCTGTCGGCTTAGTTAATCCACCTACTGCCAACATAGCACTGTCTACTGGCAGTTAGGTCGGTATAAAACAATGTCGCTCATGGGTGGGGATTATTCATTATTAAGCCCTGATCTACACTACAGAATTAATTCAGTATAAGTAATAAAAGTAAAGGGCAGCAAAGAAAGCACTTGCTCAATTGTGTATAACACTGAAGACACACTGTTGCAGAAAGCTTAATTACATTTTTTAAAACTGTAAGTTAGATATAAGCAGTTGTGACAGATGGGGAAGCCATTTCCTGACAGTTAATGGTTGGAGAGAGTAAAGGGCCCAAGGAAAGCTAAGCTCTTAACTCGGTTGGTTGGTAGCTGCCAACAAATGCCTATCCTATCAGTCACTACTGGAAAATAAGGCTTCAATTAATGTTGTTGCTGCAAATAAGGAGAGCTATACACAGTGTTAACTTTGACAGACTATTTACAACTTTCGGGTCCTATTTTCACATTACTTTCCAACTTTTCAATAATGATGATGCTGTATCTGAAACAGACACACAGAGGTGATTTGTGCTTTCAGAATGCTACGGTCGTAGGTTATCACAACAAAAATGTGCTGATACTGTATAAGCATTAGCTTCATTTGCCTCAACTGCAGTTACATTTTCATTTCAAACAAATCTCTGAGCAAAACATCACTTTAAGATCAAGGCAAAACAAACTGACGTCACCGTTAAACACAGTTAAATGCAACTTCAAAGTTGGCAAAACTATCCCTTGCACATTAGAGTTCATTTTCAATATTCTAGCTGTCCACGAAGATGAGTTCTCAAGCATTTAATCTCATGAGATTTATGGCATTTCCTTCTATTAATTTTACACTCATTTGCCCACAAGCCAGTAAGAGAAAATATAATAGATTTATATGGCACATTTTAGTTTTAATGGACTTTTGCTAGAAAGTGTCTTTAGAAATAATTTACAAATAATTTAGGTAACAAACAGGAATATGCATACTGTAAGACATCCTCCCCTCTTTGGAAAGTGAACGTTTTGGTCATCAGATACATGCTTCCTGAGGAGGCCCTGCAGGCTTAGTCAGATCAGCGCCAGGAATTCAGTGAACCCGGGGTCATGCTGTCAAGACTCCAGAGTAATGCAGCGTTTAAGCATTTGAACAGAATTCAGCCAGGGAATTAATGACTTCTGTTACAATACCATGACATCTGTCTTTACAAAACAACTCTTGCCACATTTCCTCCCCTCCCCCCTAAAATTGGGAAAATAACTTCTTACCCAGCTCTCCTCTAAGGTTGAGGAATTCTTGAGATAGCTCTTTATGCTGTTTTAGTGCTTCCTCCCTCTGTAAAAAAAAAAAAAAAAAAAAAAGAAGAAAAACACATTTGGTTACTAGTGTTTTGAATAGAGCACCTTCCAATAATTAACTCACATTATCTGTAGGAAAACAAAAGGCAAGAGGGAGAAGCCAAGAAATGAATCATTTAGGGTAACAGCTTTGCTGTTACAAACACACAGATGTTCCTTAGCTGTTATGGAAGTTATTCTTTAAACAGCCTCCCTAGTTTTCCCAAGTTAACAATCCAATTAAATCTTAGTTTGCAGCAATTAAATGATAGTATTTAGGATTTTTTCCCCCTCATGGGTGTAACTGTATATTGACCCACAATGTTTCAACTAATGCATGCATAGGACATATGATACACGCCTCTTTCAAACACAAACTTAAATATTTATGCTAAGATCTAGTCAGCATATGTACTTTGTGCTGAATGTAAACAAAGCTAAACTTTGCTAGAAGCTCAATCTTCTATGAAGGAAAGGTAAAGCTCACTTCTAAACTATCGCCATTTTTTCATTAATAGATTTTATACGTTCAATGACTGCTAAAATACTCAGATTTAACATCTAGCTTTAAAAAACAGATTAGAATAGAAAGAATATATATAAAAATATAGAAAATAGTCTTGGCATTCAGGAAGACTAGAGCTTTTTAAAGCAAGAATCAGCTTGTTATTCAACTTAAAAGCCGGGGGGAGGGGGAAACTACCTCTTTTGCCCCTTATATTCTGCCCACAACTGAAAGACCGCCAAAAACCCTGAAACTAGCTGCTGCATAGAACAGAGTCTAAGAATCAGATTCAAGAAGGACAACCCACAGCATACATAGCATAACTACATTAAAGGTATTTCACAGCTCAATGTTCACTTCATGAACAGAATCCTCCAGACGCAACCACTGCTGTGGAGAGCATAATGTTGCAGAGATCATAAGATTCAGGCTTTCCAGTCAGGAATTGCTTGCTGCTGGAGCCATGTCACCTTCCCTGCAGTCAGCCACTGCTGAAATTCCCTGACATTCTTCCAGGAAAGCACTATAAAACAAATACTAATTACCCTTGTTGCAGCACATTGAGAATAGAGGCACATTTTGCTGCTAGTGCAGCCCATTTTCCAGCTTCTGTCTCTCCACTTTCCCCCCTGCACATGTAACAGGGTATACAGGTGGTACTGGCAACACCACAAACCAAACTGGTCTAGCTAGATATAAGACACTACTAGGAAGGGCTCCATTGGACCTTGCTTCAGCCTTACTTCAAGCTTTGCAGGTTACCGTACTTCTTGTACTGCTCTCTCCCACCAGAGGCAGATATTGCAGCTTCTGCACTTGGCACAAGCAGCCAGTGATTACTTAAAGCCACAGCCCTTCATTTATGAAAAATGAGAAGCAGACATTAGACTGATCGATTGCCACTTACTCAAATATCAGCTGGTACAGTAAAGGAAAATCTGACCTTCTCCATGGATAATGGGGGTGTATTTTTAGCTTTCTGAACTAGATATACCAGGCTTTCACTTAAATTTGTATGCACAAAAATAATTGACCTGAGACCCGGATAGAGAAACAAAATTATGCACCAGTGAGAATGCAATGTAAACACTAAGTTTAACATAATGAGTACCCAAACTTGCATTTCTAATGAACCCATCACTTGCAAAAAGCCTCACTATGAACATTGTCTCCTTTGCTCTCACCTGTACTATATTAGAAACATAATACAGTTGTACAAAACCATTCAGATTTTTTTTTTTGGAGTAGCAACTACACAAACATCTATGGTAGTTAAATTCAAACATTAACACTGCCATGCTTAGAGCCAAGGGGTGGAGTAGTGCTCACAGAAAACCCCACCTTTAGAATACATTTATTTCTCCCCTATTTAGTCCTACTGCAAATTAGTTTCGGGCTCTTGATAAGAAACCCACTTATCAGATTACTTAATTAGAGGAGAATAAAGGAGGTGGCAAATATTCCTTCCAAATCTCAATTCCTTCACTCACTGAAGAGTAAGGGAAACTATGAGACACTGCTCCTAAAGACAATTAAAGCCCAAAGGAGTTAGATGTAGCCATTAGTTAGGTAGCCATTCGTTTAGCATTAAGTGCAACATTTCAGCCATCTCCTAGTTTGATATCACAGCTGTAATGCCTAGTTTGTTCGTGAGTAAAGAGTGACTGTTTTTCCAAAAATTGTCAACTCATACAGTGTAACATTTGGACTTTTCAAGCAAGTCCTTCACTGACTATGCTTCATATAAAGACCTACCTACACATTCTCTTCAGATTCATTTGCCTGTATTATAACAATATAATAAAAAAAAAATTAGCATATGAAGGTTAGAAGTTGCCTTAAAACACATTCTCTTTTGATACAAATGGAAAATAAAGTGAGGTTATTACATTGAGCCTAGAGGGAGAGGGTAAAAGTGTTGCTGAAGAAGTCTGCTCCTGTCTAGTTTAAATCAAGTGAAGGACACCTATATATGATCCTGAACTATAGGGCTGGCCTTAAATTTAGAGAGATTATGTACTGAGCAGACTGGCACAGCATATGTATATTCATATGACCTATCTTAAAGGCAAAAAAGGTGCAACGCTGTCATTTTAGCTCAATCAAGTTATCTTAACTCAATAATTGAAGACTCCTCTTAATGCCGATTAAGAATCATGCTAACATATTCAAAGGCTTGTTAGATGACTGTTGTAGCCTCCTATTAATAAGCATTAGGAAGGGTTTTCTAACTTGAACGAACACTTTCTCCCAATCAAGACTAAACCACAGCCATAAGTTGCTCTTTAGGGTATTAGAATTTCATACTTGTTCAAGGGAATTTACCAGGATGCAGTTTTTCTCAGGAAAAGAGTGTGAGGAAAGGATGAGTCATAGCACTGTAACATCAGTGCCCACTACAGATCTGACAATGAAATAGTGAATACTGCAGAGTTTTTATTATCTAAATAGATTTCACTGTAGTGCTGTGTACACAGTTAAGTACTATTTACTATCATTTGTTGAACTATGCAAACTAAGACTTAGTCTTATATTTTGTTTTCCCTTTTCTGTTTCATTATCTTGACGCAGTTTTCGATAGCCACCTTCAGGATCCTTGTTCTCTACTAAATTAAATTTATACTTGCATATATTTGTTCTGTGGTTTGTTTTATCTTTCAGTGTTTGTTTTTCCTCCTCCCTGCCTCCAATGTTACAAACGTCTCATTTGTAAAACTTCACTCCAATTCTTAGTTAACCCTCTTTAACCCTACTTGTGTTACTACCCAATTTTTCTTTCCGGCTACTTTCTCCACCAATGTTTTTCCTTTTTACCTCCATTGGTCTCCAAGCTCTCTCGGTCCTTTTCTTGGTGTTACTTCCCTTTCTTCTCCCTTTACTGGTGCTATTTGACTCCATCTCCAACCTGGCAGTTTTTTCTTTCCCCAGCTTCCCAAAGAGACTGAGGGCAGATCTACACTTAAAATGCTGCATTGGTACATCTGCACTGATGCAGCTGTGCTGCTTTAGCACTTTAATGAAGATGCTCTAAACTGAGGGGAGAGCGTTCTCCAATCAGCATATTAATCCATCTGCCCAAGAGGCGGTAGTTATGTCAGCGGGAGAAGCTCCCGCCAACATAGCGCTGTCTACTCCGGGGGTTAGGTTGGTATAACTGTGTTGTTCAGGGGTGTGGATTTTTCACACTCAAGCAACATAGTTATACCAATATAGGTCTATAATGTAGACCAGACCAGAGTGTAGACCAGACCTGAGTCCAGCCAGCTCTGAATATTTCTAAGCAATGCTTTGCACCCTTTGCCTTTACATTATGTAAGATTATGTCTACACTGCAGAGCTGTGCTGGCATAGCCTCCTAGTGGTAGACACAGCATACACCAACAGGAGTTTTTCCTGTTTGGTGTAGGACCACCACCTCTCTGAGGCCTGGTCTACACTTCGGGTTGCCAACTCTGACTGATGCTATTCTGGGAGATTTTTTTTCCTTCCAACATTATGTAATGTCCTTTTTAAAAATATCCTATTAAAATCTCCCGGATTGCTTTCAGTAGTCATCGGGAGAATGATGCCAATTCCCAGAGACTCCAGGCCAATCCTGGAGGGTTGGCAACCCTCTCTACACTAGGAAATTAGGTTGGTACAAATGTGTCACTCAGTGGTGTGAAAAATCCACACCCCTGAGTGATGTAGTTAAACCAACCTAACCCTGGGGATCCAATGCTAGATCAACAGGAGAATTTCCCTGTCAACCTAGCTACCACCTCTCAGGGAGGTAGAGTACCTATGCCAAAGGGAGAACCCCTCCAGTTGGTGTAGGTAGTGTCTTCACTAAAGTGCTCCAGTGATGCAGCTGCACCACCATAGTGGTTTATGTGTAGACATACCCTAAATGATGTTTGCTGACAGAAGAGCGCTCTTGTTGGCATAGCTAAGCTACTCGACACTTAACATTTTTACTGGCATAGTTATGTCAGCCAGGGATAGGATTTTTTCACACCAACATAGCTATGCCAATATAAATTTTAAGTATAGACAAGGCCTGGGAATCAGCATTGGTCACAGGGAGAAGCAATTCCTGGATGGTTAGAGGCAGGAAACTCGTGAGACCTGTGTGCCATCTGAAAGGTGAGCAGAGCCTGAGTATGCTTCTGTCAGCAATGCCACAGGGCAAAGCAGCCAGTCAGCCAAGACTCTGTCTTCCCTCCAAGTTCCATGGGACTGACTGATGGCGCTGAATGAAAGGGAGAGTGAGCACTTCTAGGTCAGCCATATGGGTAAGCAGCATTCTCCCTTGCTAACAGTTTTTCGGGGCAGACTAGCCAAGGCCTGCTCACCTCCTAGAATATCAGGTCTCCACAAAGGGCGTTCTGTGTACCCATACTGAACTTCCAGGGCCCTAATCTGCCCAGCGTATGCCTGCTCTGGTTATATATGTTAGATTTTCAAAAGCACCTAATTGAGCTAGGCACCTAATTCCCATTGATTTTGAGTGG